TAAAACGTATGTATCAGGCAAACAACTATAATGTAGCACAACAATTTGAGTCTTCTCACAGTCCTCCTCATGTATTACAGAGACACATGATTTATGCGCAATCAGGATACCCCCAAAATCACGATCTTGTCGATATATGCTGAACCCATATTCATTGGGCCATGTAATGTCAGATACCGCTAAATGCGTCTCGAGTAATAAGACAAAGTCAAACAGACGAATAGATGGTCCACCAAGAATGGCATCCATATCCTTTAGTTTTCGCACATTTTGAAAGCAAAACCTTCCTTAGCAAGGAATCAATGTGATATTATGTATTGGGACCGGAGAAATCGTAAGCTTAAAACTACGAAGACGTTCCATTTCTTTGACGACTTCACCATTAATACGAATGGTTCGCTCGGAAAAACCATTTAAATACAAAGCACGGTGCGACCTGAACCAGCTCAAAGCCACATACGCTGCATGATAAAAATCAGGCCCCTTCAAAATGAACGACACCTCATTCGAACGTTGACCCTTGGCTGCGATGTATACTTATAGCCACACTAGGGCGAAGGGGGAATTGTAGCCTTGAGATCTCTTCGCACATTCGGTTAATAGAGAATTTTCGCTCGACACGAACGATGGGGGTTAACAAATTATTATTTATTGCCGATGTAGTATACATGCTTCTACAGTTGTTACGCACCTTCGCACCAACCCGAACGTTGTCAAATAGCACCCAGATAATAGAGACCTCATTTGCTTCATCCATAGAAAAACAATGTATTGTGACGGGCGTACCGTTTGCAAGGCCGTCGGTGGTATCAACATTTAAGACAATATGAATTTTGCATCCAACATACAGGAATAAGGTTGCATAAAGACCTGCATTTTTTTTCGGATCCTTTGGTGCGCTCCCTGATGGTCGCTTACATCTAGTGGAACGTTTGTCAAATATATGTAAGTCGTATGCTTGTATGATATGCTTCTCGTTATGCGTTAGCTCAAACTTTCTATTGTTGAATTCGTTTATATCTGTGTTTCTACCAAAAATATGTTGGACACTTAATGTTTGCTCGCCGTACGTATTCAACGATAAGAAGAAATCGACATCCTCTCTAGTGTGTTTTCCCTCTCGCAATCGGTTTAAGCGTGCGGCAAACTCGGTCTCATATTTTTGACGCATTATAGTTGTCAACTCAACCATTGAGAATAGCTCCCATACGTTATCTTCAACCATTGTATTCAATGATTTTGTCTTTGCAAAACAGTATCTATCGGCTACCGGTGGTAACTGAAAAAAATCTCCTACAAATATGACATGTAATTCTCCAAACGGAATGTGTTGTTTTCCTCGTAACTCCCTTAGCCGCCAATCCAACCATCGAAATGTGTGCTCGCCAAGCATTGAAACTTAATCAACTATAACAACCTTCACGTCACATAAATTGGACCGTAGTGTGTTCATTCGTTCTGATGATACATTTGATATAGTTCGGTTTTGCGTAACCGGAATCATTAAAGCGTTATGAATACTGTACCCACTTATGTTAAAAGCAGCAACTCCGAATGGCGCCAATTTCAACACTTTGAGAGATGTAGGGTCAGAATGAATCGTTGCGTTAAACATCCGTGTAATCCTTTCCGTCAAATCTCGAATGAGAACCGATTTCCCCACCCCAGCTCCACCAGATATAAACAGACGAAGCGGTGTATAACTTTTCCGTATGTGATGCACGACATGATCACTAATCGCGCGTTGTTCCGCATTTAATATCTTCTCCAGCAGCATAAATTCTGAACTGTCAACGTTGATATGATTGAACATCTGGCATATTCAATTCGCTTGCAAGATCGATATGGTCAACTATATCATTTGAATCTTGTGTTTCAATTGATATGCAATCATCGTTGGCTTGTTCGGCTTCTTTGAATGCGTCAGCCCATGTATCTAACTCTTTCGTGAACTCTTGCTCTTTCGTAATAATATCTCGCTCAAATCTGTGATTTGTATCAGAACATTCAGCATGGTCGATTGGCTCATCTCGAAAATGATGAAACAATAAAACCCTCTCTCAATTGCTATAATTCTGATTCTTATGATAATTCACAAATCTTATTATCTTACACTTTCCACGCTTATAATAGAATCTCTTTTCCTTAGTAAAGTCCGGACCAATCAAGTGTAATTTATGCTTGCTCGAATCGTATGGGGCCAATTCATACTTGGAAATAAAATCGGCCAAGCACGTATGTTCCATAGCTTTTGGCCTTAACTTATACTTTTGAATGCATGCGTAAGGTTCATACACGTCCGTGCTTGTTGACTCTAATTGGCGCAATTTATTAATAGGTTTAAGGGTTAGTAGTCGTTCATTATATGGTGATGTATTAATGAAGATGACTTGTCGTGTTGACATGCGATACTGTAACCCAAGTAGCAAATAGCATGCTTCTTGTGCGCTAATTTCTTGAGAATTCAACATAGCGTTTCCAATGGTATGAAGAATTCCCTTTATTCCTGATTTTTTTTTACGAGCGTATGCTAAAGCCTTCTGCATCATGGTACTCAAACCTTTATTTTCTTTTGTCATGTATGATACAATGTACGCTGCCACGCTATATGGATCAATGCACAACTGAATATCCATATTCCCATTCCACATTCGGAGAAGGGTGGGATTATAATTGTTTATGTAGACATCACGTACCTGAAGACGTAGAATCAGTGTTGTTCGCTTTAGTGACGACCGAATAACAAGCAGATATTCATCGAAAACAAGACTAACATTTTGCAAAAAGACAGTCAAAGTGATGTTACTTCTGGACAATGCACCATCGAGCCACTCCTTAACGCGCCTTGCATCACTCGCCAATTTTTGTCGCTCCCGTACAGAGAGGGTAGTAGGAATGGGATGTAAAAGCATCGTTGAAGGTAACGGGAATCTTGGAAAACCAAACCTACACTTACGTAAGGAACTCGATCGTTGGCAAGTTCTTGAGTGTTTGTGTGTTTGTAACGATAGCAATTCTGGATATAAGCCTCTAGAGCTCGTACTGATATGTTAATGTGCGTACTTTATAATAGCGTCCACTCCAGCGATGCCAATCTCGTTCGCACCTTTACTCCAAACAACGGCATGCGTATGCGGCGCGCCACGATGTTGAAATTCGTCAAGTGCAAAATAGTCATCGATTCCATCAAGAACGTCAGACTTGTTATTCAACATATAACAAAACAATAATCTTTTTCTATGTGCGTAATATCGTACACAAGTCACAGGGTCATTTCTTACCAACGTGGTAATCGTACTATACTTTAACGGTAAGCGTATACCGGACGGCAATTTACACGGATTCCCACGTAATGTATATTCTCTTAAAAGTATCGCATGAAGATCAACCCAGCGGGTATCTGCCATTGACATGGTTATAAAGAACGCTGGCCTACCGATTTGACGCAAAAGTGCAAAAAGATCGCGCTTGCAATTGTCTCTGTATTGTTGTGTTGAACGGATGACTTTAAAATCATTATATACGGTATCGTTTTGTTGAAGCGTGAAGCGCTTATTTTCGTTCAACATATCTGTCGCGGTAAATGCATCTAGATTCCTAATTTTGTCTTGTCGTACACGCGTGGCGATTACATTTTGCACCTGTAATATCTCTTTTATATACATTTTGAAAAAAAATGTTGGATATATTTGATGAGCATCGCCCATTTGTATGCTTTAGTTCCCACTTTGCAATATCCGAATACGATACATGCAAGTCTGTTGCTACACGCGCCCTATGATTATCACCATAGATATTGGGAAACTCAATTCTTCGACATCTTTATCTAATATTATGGACAACGGTTTTGATTGCTCTCCTGGTGCCATGTGCACTAAGCTCTGTGATGGATGCTGATAAAAAGGCTCTTGCGTAATAAGAGTGTCAAGTACACCAACGTTTATGTTATTCGTATCGTTGCTATCACTTGACAATCTTGATGAAGAATCGCTTTCGCCATTGGCTGAATTCGCATTGTCCATACGTGGTTTGCTGTGTATAGTGTCTAACTGGTTCAAATGAATTTTGTTTAAGACAATTTTGTTGTCAGTAAAAAGTTGTTGTCTACAAAGGAAGTTTATCGCTTTCAAGATTTTAGCAGGCCTCACGTTTTCCTCAAATGCACTATGTTTGTACTCCATCTTACGTTTCAATCTGATCGTAACGGTATGTGCTACATAGAGCAACCTTGGTAATGAGGATACCATCTGGTTAACTTCAACTAGAATGTTGATAACTCCGCCTCGTATACCATACTGTTTTCCAATGGACAATGAACGTATATTCATAAATAGTATGAGCGGACTTATTGAACGTTCTTCTAGCGTTGTAAGGTTTTTGAGTTCAACGGGTTGAGACGGAAAGCCTACTTTATTTAGCGTGAAAAATGGCGGATCCTTTCCTTTCTTAATGTAACGTGCACAACTTTGACACACGATTTGATCCGCATTTCCGTGCTTCATTTTTGCCACGTTTTGTTCAAAACACATTGTTCCACATAACGGGCACGGAAAATCGGGTCCATCTTTGCATTTCTGCAAAAACTTCTCCGTATACTGATCCTTGTTTTGTTTAACCGGAACTGCTTCTAAGTTATCGTTCTTGAAAATATCGTCGAGCTCTAGATGCGCGATAAGGCCACCGCTATCATCTAGAACCCCGTTTGTTATATCAAAAATATAATTTTTATGTTCACGAAGTTTGCTACAAATGAAATATGTTCTCGCCAATGTGGCATCTACGTCGTGCGCAAAACCTGAATGCGTATAACGTTTGCCATTACAATTCACCAAGAATTTAAAACCCTTTGCTGTATGTCTTACACCTATAAAGTGCGTGCCTCTTGGTTTATGATGCTGCACTAATTTCCTACAAAGACATAACATGGTCATCGAATTACGTGGATCTTTCTTCTTATATTGGTGAGGACCATTGTTATCATTTGGTGTAGCACGGATTGGTGGCGTGTGATGACAGGTGCGACTACTAGTTGTTATAATCACAATAGGCTCAGATGTGCCTAAAATGAGAGAAATTGTGCTCAGTCAGAATTCCGTCAGACAGCTTCAAATATTGATGCCGATCTGATCTGTGCCTCAAACGGTGATCTGTAAATTGGATCTGGAGCGCGTTGCTGTCACCTATCAGCAGCAAGTTGAATCATAAAATTCCATGAAGATTTGACGACCTTATGGCGGTTTGACTGGCAGGAGGTATAGCAGCCACTATAGTCTTGGAAGTACAAACTTAGCAAGAAGAGTTCGAAAGGGAGATGGTTCCCAGCCTCTACATACCCCAGGAGCCGAGGTCCAGGTTGGTGGTACACCACCACAGAGTCCCCAACCACGAAGAGTCTTGAAAGCAACCCTCCAAGGGGCTACACCAAGCAAAATGTAACACTACACGAAGTAGCGTTACTATTTTCACTATTTAATATTTATCCGCGTCCCTTGGGCTTGAAATCTTGAGCTCTTGGTCTTGGATCTGCAAGATAAATTCTTCTTGAGTTGATGGGGGCTTGCTGCACACACCTGCGATGCGATGGACACTTCACACTCGACAGAATAGAAAAAACACATGCGACACACAAACGACGACTTGACATGCGAGTTGTAAAAACTCGCTAATGTCTTGACCGATACAAACCACATTGTGATACACCATTCAAACACACACACAAGCCCTGGATAGCAATGACATAGACTCACAATTCATTCCATGCCATGCATGCACACACACAAACAAGGACGACAAGCCGAGTGCAAGCCATAGGGTTGCACCAACACTAGCGATGGCAGTTTCTCCGTCATCTTGATGATCTTGCCTATTGTTGCACGAACTACTTGTTTCCTGCTTATTGTTATCTACGTTATCTTTTAGTTCCTTAAGGCTATTACCCACACTATGAGAATTAGTGTCATTATTAGCTCGTGCTGAAGTAGCTTTCTCAGGCTCAACTGACGTGTATCTGGAGCCATATAAACTAACATTGTTTGAAGGGGTAGAAGAGAATAATGGCTCGCATCGATATCAAAATTCAAATGAAGTACGCCATGAGAAAAGGTAGTGTTGCGCGCCCAAAAACA